CGCTGGAGCTTGCAGCTGACTTGCTGCTGGCATACGTTGGCCTTGGTTTCCGACTGGAGGACGAATGCTCCACTTTGTGCATTGTCGATTCCTTGCTGAAATTGGCGCTGGTAGAGCTGCTGATGCCTGCCATCGCCGCCACGGATGACAGCGTCGCCTCGACAGAGCGCGCGTATGTCAATAAATCCATCAGGGCAATACTGCTCTCCATAAAGGCCTTCTCTCTCACTTTCGAGAGGACGCAGTGCTGTACGACTTGAGATTTAATCTCAGAGTCGACATTGGAGAAACTGCAGTGCTTGGCCAGCCTACGTAGCCTAGAAACATAGCTGTCGATCGATTCAGCTGCTGCTTGCTTCTCTCGCCTGAACAAATAAATTTCATACTCCACGTTGCGCTTCGGCATAAAGTGGGCCAGCAAGGCATCTTTTAGCTCCTTGTACGTTCCAGTCTGGCTATCGTCTAAAGTCAAATACAGGTCAAAGACATCCTCTCCTCCGACATGCAGGAGCTGAGCCTTCTGGCGGGCGTCCTCAGTGACTTTAGCTGCTATCAAATAATTATCAAATCTGGCAACCCATCTCTCCCAACGGAGGCCAATAGATTCCGCCGGTTCGAGAGAAAATGGAGTCCAGGACTTCATCGCTACAGAATCCATCCTAGCATCCTAGACAAAACACTTGACTTCGTCGCCAAAATATTATGGTTCACACAATACACGATACTCAACAGAGGACATTCATGGTAATCACTTTCAGAACGAAACAAGAAGAAGAACGACAACCAAAGAGCAAGCACAGAAACTATGCATGCACGCACTGTACGCAGCACGTGCAAAGTCAATAAATAATGACTTCCAAAGTACAGATACCACACTAGCCACGCTTGTTTCATCAGGAGGGTGTCTGTTCTCACCTCTACATATACCCTCCAACACAAGCTACGCTGCTTGTGAATACTGTAAAACCGGAAAGTCTGACGACCAAAACGTTTAACGTTTTTGTAATTTTGGCATGATAGCGTGCAGAAAGTTTAACGATGGCTACCTGGCCACCCATCTGTCTGAGCATCTCCGCACAGACATCTAGCGATAACGGTGTGTGTGTGTGTGTGTGCGTGCGTGCGTGCGGGCGCGCGGGCGGGCGCGCGGGCGGGCGCGCGGGCGGGCGGGTGCGCGGGCGCGCGGGCGGGCGGGGGGGGGGGGGTAGGGTGTGTGTGTGTGTGTGTGTGTGTGAGGTTGCCATCAACAACTTCCACCACCGCTCTCTCAGGTTCATTCTGGGTGTGTCCCGGCTCGATCAACAGCTGCAGCATGTCAACAACCAGGAGCTGCGAAGACGCTGGGGTGATATGGCACTGCCATCTGATACCGTCAGACACCGCCGTCTGCAGTGGCTTGGGCATGTCGCCAGAATGCCAGATAACCGGCTTCCGAAGCTGATACTGTTTAGCTTCTTCTCAGATCCACGCCCAGCCTGTGGACCACGACTGCGATGGAAAGACCTCGTCGCACGTGATCTTCGTTTCGGTGGCATAGTGAATTGGCTCACTTTGGCCCAGGATCGCCCAGCATGGCGCGAGGCAATTGCAAAGACTCCGGATGATCTCGTGGAATGCAACAACAACAAAGTCACCTGCAGGGTTTGCAACCGATCATTCACTGCTCGTGGGATTCAACGTCACAAGTGCTCAGCTGTAAGGTCCTTACCTGTTGCCCAGCAGCCTGGGGCCCGTCACTGTGGAGTTTGTGACCGCTGGTTTCAAAGCGCTGGCGGTTTTGCAGTTCATCGTTGTGTGGAGCGTCAGACATCTGACGAAATACCAGCTGTTTCAACGAGATGCAGCCTGAATTTGGACTGCTGCCGGCACCATTGCTCGACCTGTGATCGCTGCATGAAGAGTCAGGCTGGTTTTAACCGCCACAATTGTACTCGAGGCAAACGACTGCGAAAGGACCAGAGGACTAATCTGCCCATTCAATGCAGCCTATGTAGCGAACGATTCTCCCGCCTGCCTCACCCGCCACCGAAGAGAGAAACACTAGCTGTGTGTAGAACGGTCCCCTTTCACCTCAATTACTCTCCTTGTTTCTTTTCCTTTCTCGCTGTTGTCTCCCGCTTCTGGGAGCGACGTGGCCATTTTGTGGCAGTTGTACATAGTAGTAGTGTGTGTGTGCGTGCGTGCGTGCGTGTGTGTGTGTGTGTGTGTGTGTGTGTGTGTGTGTGCTGTCGTCCTCACGACCCTCTTGTATGGTGCGGAGACGTGGACCACCAAGGCATGCCACCTCCAGAAGCTTAACACGTTTCATCATCAGTATGTTCGGTCCATCGTGGGTATCGGCGGTCGTCAACAGTGGGATGATTGGATCTCAACGGCCACATTAGCGGCTACATTCGGTGTTGACCCTGACATCACCAGCATCATCCGTCGCCACCGGCTTCGTTGGCTGGGTCACGTCGGCAGGATGGACGACTCACGCGCACCGAAGCAATTCCTGTTCGGCGAGCTGCCTGCCCCCCGTCCTGGTCTCGGCCCGAAGAAGAGGTGGCGAGATGTGGTGTCGACTGACCTGGCGGACCTCGGCGTGAGCACCTGGCTTGAGAGTTGCCAAGATCGTCCCGGCTGGAGACGAGTTGCGAGTAGCACTCCACCGCCACGGCCCGCTCCTGATCCTCTTCTATGTGTCTGTGGACGCCCGTTTCGTCGACCAGGAGACCTGAAACGACATGCCAAGTTCTGCGCTCGTGTTCTCACTTGAACTTTCCGACGTTCGCTATCATTGCGTACGCAATGGGCAAGATCAAGGTCAAGGTGTGTGTGTGTGTGTGTGTGTGTGTGTGTGTGTGTGTGTGTGTGTGTGTGTGTGTGTGTGTGTGTGTGTGTGTGTGTGTGTGTGTGTGTGTGTGTGTGTGTGTGTGTGTGTGTGTGTGTGTGTGTGTGTGTGAAAAATGAAAAAGACCAAAAAAGGGATTCACTGGCCAGAAAATGTCACTCCAAATAGCTGTATGGTGTAGACCAGGCTGAATAGTGACGGTCAATTCTTCAGCCTTGCAAGCTGTTGAATGGTGTAATCCCAGCACAAGTTGCTATGGCTTCTGCCGTAGCATTGCTATCATCGCCTCCGGCGATGGGCGTCAAAGGTCAAGGTGTGTGTGTGTGTGTGTGTGTGTGTGTGTGTGTGTGTGTGTGTGTGTGTGTGTGTGTGTGTGTGTGTGTGTGTGTGTGTGTGTGTGTGTGTGACTGGTTACCCCAGCAAGTGTAGGGTGTGCATAGGTAACTGTCTTGGCCGGTTTATGCCGATGTACTCCGTGTGGTGTAGACCAGGTGTGCATTGGTGGTCGATTCACATGGCTTCGCCAGTTGTGTGGATTAGCCAGTTATCTGGCGCAAGTCTTGATCTGTCTCCTTCAGAGCTTGTTCGCTATCGTTGCTATAAGAGAAAATCTGTGGGTGCACATCCAGTGCATTTGCAGCTTTGCGTGCTTCTCTTGCGACGGGCGTATACATGGTACATGGTACATGGTGTGTGTGTGTGTGTGTGTGTGTGTGTGTTTGTGTGGTGTGCGTGTGTGTGTGTGCGTGTATGTGTGTGTGAGTGTGTGTGCGTGTGTGTGTGTGTGCGTGTGTGTGTGCGTGTGTGTGTGTGTGTGTGTGTGTGTCCCATAATGTACTGTGGTATGTGCAGCAATTTCCAATCGATAGGTTGCGGGTTCGATTCCCGATGATTATGGTCACGCATGTCTTTCTTCTCTTTCTCAAACTCCTTCTGACTTTTCTTTTATTCTCCTGGGTGGTTACCAACAGCCAGAGCATGCCGGAGTATGTGGTGTGATGTGTGCGCGGGAAAGAAAAGGAAGAAAGACCAAAAAGTAGGGATTCACTGGCCAGAAAAAGCCACTTCATAGCTGTGTGGTGTAGACTAGGCTGAATAGGGGTGTTCAGTTCTTCAGCCTTGCAAGCTGTTGAATGGTGCAATCCCTGCACAAGGTGCTATGGCTTCTGCTGTAGCATCACTATCATCGCCTCCCATGACGGGCGTAAAGCAGTAATGGTCAATGGTGTGTTTGGTTGTGTGTGCGTGTGTGCCTGTATGCGTGTGTGTATGTGTGTATGTGTGTATGGGCACTTGCAGGACATTGAAGGTTTCCATCATGTCACCTCTTATGGCAAGGGAAAGATGCCAGCAGTACCCGCGTCCATTGTGGTGCTTCTTGCTGCTCAAGCACTTCTTTATCATCAAGAAGAAGGGCATAGATGTTAGCAATCAATGCGGTGATTTGCCAGCTATCGACTCGAGCCTAGTGAGCTGGAGCTGGATTGCTCCTGCGGTTTCTCCTCCTGCCAGTGTCCAGGCCACATTGCCTGCTCCTGCCAGAGTCCCGGCCTTGCTACCTGCTGCATCAGGCATGGGTATGCCACCAACTAGCAGGGGCATGTGAGCTATTGCCGGCAGTTTGACCGCGATCTCGTCTGTCTCTGTCTGTTGACAGATGCAGTATTATTATTATTATTATTATTATTCCCTTAAATGATGAAGTAGGTTATTCCTGCGTGGAACACACGCTTCCTGCCGAACTTGACACTAAGTTCCCTCAAATGATGAATATTTTGAAACAACCGCGACTTGATAGTTTTAATTGCACTACAGCAATGCCATGGTGGCAGCAATTCAAGAATAATTTCTTCTTGATGACATTGATGTTGTTTCCCAGCGCAAACATACAGCAATTTTGGCATTATAATTCAACCCTTTTATCAATTATCCCCAGACTTTTTCCGTTTTAAATACCCTTGACCAATGAATATTTTTTAATCAATACTTTGAATTCCTTGACTCTGTCGTGCATTTCAATATCAAGAATCCACGTGACATACCACACTGTCTGTGAACGGACGATCAGTGGAAACACAATCCATACGAGACGGCACTGCGCAGTGCGTCAGAAGCCATTCAACATTGGTGCGGCCATGAATGCTTCCTTATTGACCATGGGCCATCGTGGAAATAAAGAATAGGTTCAGGGTCCGGGGATCCTCCCCTGGGAGAATATTAGGGAAATTGGTCCGAATAGCCCATTATTATTATCATTTCATTGCTTCACAAGGCACGAGATGAAATTGTTGGTGTGGCTTTGGCCGCACCTGCCGCACCGGTTCCGACGCCGCTGGTGCAGGTAACGTGGCATTAGTTGTGAAACCGTTTCATAATTAAAAAGATAAATTCAAAACCGGTTCAAGCTACCGTACGAGGAAGGCGAACACATGTTCAGATTAAACTCGGATGGAGAAGCAAGGATTGAAACTAAAACGAAAGGACCAAAGGTTTACAACTGTGAAGATTTCTCATAAATCTTTGGTCCATTCTTTCCAAGTTTGATATTGTTCAGTTTTGCTTTGTTCTTCTCTAGCGGGTATACCAGCCATAGCTGCATACTGGTAAGCTAGTGTTAGGGTGAGGGCATGGCCAGTATGAAGCACTATGTGTTAGAAGAACCAGGATACTGCACTGGTGGGGGCGAGAGAGAGGGGGGGGGGGGGGGGAGGGGGTAAAGACGAAAAGCGACGAGAGAGCAAACTCAGCAACCTTCGCTATGCTCGTTTATCATGCATGCTTTTATTTGCTGAGCTAGCTAGTCAAGCTGGTGCTATGTCGCGTGTCATGGTTAGACGCGTGCGGCAGGCCTGGCGCGCTGCCTGCGCCAGCCTTTGTGCCCTGTCGCGTGTGATGACGGACCTACGAGGTACGACACACACACACACACACAAACAGACATTATGAAATAGAGCCCTGTGCACCCTGGCTAGGGCCAGATGCTACTAAGGTAACGTATTTTGCATAGCTATGGGAATAAAAGCAATTCAATACTGACTATACTAACGACAGGAGTCAGTGATGAGAACACATCTAATGCTACGTCCTAGAGTCTACTAGGAACTTTCCGAAGAAATGGGTAGGAAGAAGTGGGTAGGAAGAAGTAGGTAGGAAGAAGTGGGTAGGAAGAACAGGAAAACAGCACTTTGCGGCAAGAGGACAAGAAAATACCAAAAAGGCTTATAATTATGGTGAAATATCATTTTCATGGTAGACCATCTAATGTCTCTCTCACATACTTCAAAGAAGTACGCAAATACACACGTGCGGGCGCACGCACACACACACACACACACACACACACACACACACGCGCGCACACACACACACACACGCACACACACACACACACACACACACACACACACACACACACACACACACACACACACACATACACACACACACACACACACACACACACACATACATACATACATTATAATAGATAGATATGCAGTAACAGTTGTGCAGTCTCTAGTGGGTGTGCTGTCTAAAGAAGCACTGCCGCATACGTGGCAGCCGAAACAAGTAGAGAAGTGTGATGACAATTGTGTCGGTCCCAGTCTTGAATAACAGTAGCAATTCCTTCCTTTGTTGCGTAATAGCCTGGGATCCACCCAATATCTTTCCCACAATCACTCAATTCAATATAGTAAGCAATACTGAGTGGTGGGTCTACCACATACCCCCGCTAGCTGGTGGCATACCCCCGCTAGCTGGTGGCATACCCCCGCTAGCTGGTGGCATACCCCCGCTAGCAGGTGGCATACCCCCGCTAGCTGGCGGCATACCCCCGCTAGCTGGTGGCATACCACCGCTAGCTGGTGGCATACCCCCGCTAGCTGGTGGCATACCCCCGCTAGCTGGTGCCATACCCCCGCTAGCTGGTGGCATACCCCCGCTAGCTGGTGGCATACCCCCGCTAGCTGGTGGCATACCCCCGCTAGCTGGTGGCATACCCATGCCTGATAGAGCAGGCAGCATGGCCGTCGAGATGCTGGCAGCAGCAGGATGTGTGGCCGGGGCGCTGGCAGGAGAAGAAACCGCAGGAGCAATCCAGCTCCAGTCGCTCGAGTCGATAGCTGGCAAAGCACCGATTTGATTGCTAACATCTATGCCCTTCTTCTTGATGATAAGGAAGTGCTTGAGCAGCAAGAAGCACCACAATGGACGCGGGTACTGCTGGCATCTTTCCCTTGCCATAAGAGGTGACATGATGGGAACCTTCAATGTCCTGCAGGTGCACATACACAAGAACACATGCACGCACACACGTGAACACACGCACAAAAAGTTAAACAGATAAGCACACACGCACATACACAATACAATGCAATATGCCCATCCGGAGATGATAGCAGGTCCCGATGGGACCAACAGTGTTCAAGTCACGAGCAAAAGAGGGCGTGGCGAGTCAAGTCCTGGCGACGGCGATAGCGCTTCCAACAGTGCAAACGAAGCACACACACGCACGCACGCACACACACACACACGAGCGCGCGTTTCAGAGGTGACACAGGCTGTGTAAATTTCGCTATTCTTATCGTAACTTTGCGTTGTATTTTCATCTTCTTGTTTCCCTGCTTCCGTAGCACATGTGCTCGGGATGCACCAGTGCCAACAACATCATCGTGGTCGATTAACAAACAAAAAAAGAAAAAGCACATTACTATCTCTGTTGTCCAGGCGGTCAGGGACCAGGCACAGTCCACCACTTGTGAATGTCCAGAACTCTACATCACATACATGTACGTCTTGATGTGGAAGTGCCAGAGATCTGGCATGTGACATCACTATTTCCACAAAAATGGGAGAGGAGTAGTAATATGGCAAAATAGTAGTTATATGGCAAGAGAGTAGTAATATGGCAAAAAAGTAGTAATATGGCAAAAAAGTAGTAATATGGCAAAAAAGTAGTAATATGGTAAAAAAGTAGTAATATGGCAAAAAAGTAGAAATATGGCAAAAAGTAGTAATATGGCAAAAAGGTAGTAATATGGCAAAAAAGTAGTAATATGGCAAAAGAGTAGTAATATGACAAGAGAGTAGTAATATGACAAGAGAGTAGTAATTATTTTCACTAAAGTACACCTACAGGGTGCCCAGCAGACCGAGGTGTCCATAACCTCGAGGTCCGGATAGCAGAGATGTGTGTGTGTGTGTGTGTGTATGTGTGTGTATGTGTGTGTGTGTGTGTGTGTATGTGTGTGTGTGTGTGTGTGTGTGTGTGTGTGTGTGTGTGTGTGCCAGCTAGTTCGGTTGGTGGGTACACTTATGCCTGATTGTGTTGGGTCTGTTGCCAATGGTCTCGGCTACTTGAAGGTGTTATGTTGTACCTGCCACCTTTGTTGGTTCCAGGGTTCATAATACTTTCTATTAGAAGTATACATACCTGTTAACCACGGACTGCTTCTGGCTAGATTAACTCTTGTGTAATCAATGGCGGTAGTGACGCTTATATCAGATCCACTCTGATTTGCCACCCACACTAGTAGCAAGTATTACCTTCACTGGGGGCAGGGGAAACTGCAGTTGGATCCCGGGACGGATACCCTGATGTCGTCAATCCTTTTTTCTGCACCGTGTCCTCACCCACTTACTGAGGTGTGGTGAACCCATAAGTGGGATCATTTTCAAGTCCATCCAGAATTTTGGGGATTTCAGGGGGTGTCGGCCGTTGGGCGGTTCAATAGCCAATTGAGTCATCTTTCCAAGATTCCTTTTGAGTCTCTCTCCCCTCTCCCGGGGAGACCCACGTGACCAGTTTTGGCAGTGAGCAACAACTACAAGTAAGTACAAGTACAAGTAAGTGTGTGTGTGTGTGTGTGTGTGTGTGTGTGTGTGTGTGTGTGTGTGTGTGTGTGTGTGTGTGTGTGTGTGTGTGTGTGTGTTGTTGTGTCCTGCTCAAGGCAGACCAACTCTTGGAAAGATGAGAATGAACCATCAGTAAAACGCAATGGCTTTTAAAGGGAAGCTGGCTGCAAAGGCGGCTTGAAAGGTGACATGTGAATGTGTTATGTGCAAGGCGCCAGAGGTACCGCAGTGCAGGGCCTAGGGTGCGAACAGCAGCACTAGCAGCCTGAGTACCAAGACCCATGCAGGGAAAGGTGCTACAATATCACCACATGCCCCCTCGGCTTGAGTGCGACTTGGGAGCACTAACACAAAGAAAATCCTGAAACTGAAATTCGAAAATCACAGCGTAGCGCACAAGCAACAAGGAAAAAGCAAGAGAAGCATGCCCAGTCAATCTATGCACGTGGCCGGAGGAACCGTCTGTTCCGCCAGAAGCTGGACCCCGTCACTGTCTGCACTGTGTAGCTCCGTCCTCTTCTCGTGCATTTTGTGACCGTTCCTTCCATATCCCAGCGTTTTGAAGACTGGTTCTGGATCCATACCTTATCGCCTACGTGCAGAGGGGGCAGAGGTTTGCCAAGCTGGGATGAGACCTGCTGGGGAGCACTGCGGCTGTGGGCAGCGTACTGCTGCAGATTTGCAGGAAGTGTGGGAACCTTGGTCCTCGTTGGCCTTCCAAACAGCAGTTGGGCCGGGCTTGCTCCTCCTGGCCCAGGCGTGTTACGCCACTCCAGCAACCCTTCTCTGAAGGCACTGCTGTTATAGGCGTCACCTTTGCCAATTTTCATTAATAAGTGCTTCATGGCCTTGACCGCCGCCTCAGCCGCGCCATTTGACTGAGGATTGTACGGGCTGCTGGGGTCGTGGCAAATGTTCCACTCTGAGCAGAACGAAGCAAACGCTGAAGATCTGAATTGCGGCCCACCATCCGTCGTGAGGCGCGTAGGAACGCCAACGTCCGACATCCACTGAACGAGATGTTTGGTGACATCAGACGTGGTAGCCGACCTCCCACAACGCCCAACAAATGGCCAGCCGGAAAACTTGTCGGTGAGAACCAGGTACTCGAAGCCGCCTAGGGAGAAGAGGTCCGCAGCTGCATCTTCGAACGGTCTGGACGGACGACTGTCAGAGAGGAGCGGCTCAGAAGGTTGGGAGGGGAGCAGCGTGATGCAGGATCTGCAAGTCTGGACGACGTTCTTAACGTCATTGGAGATCTGGGGCCAGTACACTGCTTGCCTGGCCCTGCGGAGTGTGCGGGTCTGTCCCTGATGAGAAGCGTGAAGTTGCTCCAGCGTGGTCTGGCGTAACCTTCTGGGAACGACAATACGGTGACCCAACAACACTATGCCGTCCTCGACCGACAGGTCATGCCGAACCTGCCAGTACGGGTGCAGATCGAGGTCCAGAGCAGCCTTGTCCACCGGAAAGCCGTTCTTTACGGCGTTCAGCAGCTTGAGGTATTCCGGGTCCGTCGAGCCCTCCGCCCGCACCTTCGTAATGCCAAGGTCGGGGAGGACTGTATGGCCTGTTTCCTCGTCCTCTTGCGACAGCTGACGGAGAACACAGTAGCAGTGCTCGATTTCTTCCTCACCAGCTTCATCGTCAGGGTCTGGTGCACGTACTGGGTGTCTCGACAGGCAATCTGCGACCTTGTGATCGGCACCCGGTCTCCACTGAGCCACGAACCGAAAAGGCGTCAGCTTCTCTCGTAGTCGCACGATTCGTGGAGACGTCAACTCATCCAGCGTCTTAGCATTCAGGATAGGAATGAGCGGCTTGTGATCGACTAGCAGCTCGAAATCAGCACCGGCCAGGAACAGTCTAGCCTTGTGGACTGCCCAGACTACCGCCAGCAGTTCAATCTCCGTTGCAGAGTACCTGGCCTCGGTCTCAGTGACGTGCCGTGAAGCACATTGCACTAGACGCCACCGCCCGTCCACTTGCTGCTGCCACAGTGCCATGCCGAGACCGTTTGACTGCGAGGCGTCTGTCTCGAGACGAAGCGGCTGTGCAGGGTCGAAGGTAGCCAACACTCGAGGGCTTACCAGCTCCTCTAGTATAGCTGTAAATGCCTGCTGCTGCGGATCCTCCCAGATAAACTCATTCTTTGGAGAGAGCAGAGAGCGGATCGGGGATAGAAGCTCCGCTAGTCGCGGCGTGAACGCGTCGAACTGCTGCACGAGTCCACAGAAGGATCGGATATCAGTGCGGTTGGTAGGGATTGGAAAGTTGTGTAGATCCTCCACCAAGCTTCGATCAGGACTGTAGCCGTCCGGCGTCACCACGAATCCGCAGTACGATGCTCTGGGTGCCGCAAAGACGAATTTGCGGCGGTTCAGTGTGATTTGGTTTTCCGAGCAAAGCTTGAGCACATTGCGAACCCTCTGGGTGTGCGCCTCAAGCTCAGTGTCGTACACGATCACATCCTCTACCACTTTCTGAAGATTCGAAAACCCGGCGAACACTTCGTCTCCTCTCCGGTTGTGTTCGTCACCTGCCGACACCAAGCCCATGACGTTCCGCTTGAAACGGTAGGCACCCCATGGCGTCATGAACGTTGTGAGCCTGGTGCTATCGTCGTCGAGGGGTACCTGCCAGTAGCCATGGCGAGAATCTAGGGTGGTGAAGTACTGCATCCCCATTGGGATCGACGCGACGACTTCCCGAGGTACTCGGGTTGGGTATGCCGGCCTCTTGACCCATTTATTTAGACCTGTCAGGTCCACCGTGATGCGCGGCTCACTGGAATTCTTCTTAGGGACCACCACCAGTGGGTGGCACCAAGTGTACGCTTCGCCGACAGGCACCTTCTCAATGACGCCCTTGCCCACCATGTCGGACAGCTGGTTCTGCACCGCGTCCCGCCACCTGAATGGGATGGAGCGAGCGCGATACAGGCGGCATGGCGACGCGCCATTGATGAGCTCGATGCGCATCGGCTCACCGCTCATGGGCTTGAGCGGGGTATCACAGAACACTTCTGGAAACTCTTCCAGCAAGGTACGTCGGATTTCCTCAGCCGCCGTCGACGCAGTACCTACTGACGTGTCTGCGACTTCGGATGCTTGCTTCCGAGGGATGGAGATGTTTGCCACGCTTTGTACCCTTAGACGGGAGTGAGGCCATCCATCCTCGAGAAGCCGCAACTTCATGCACGTGTCCTTGCTGAGCAGAGGTGTCTTCAGCTGCCGGAATACGTGCAGGGTCGACACGGCGGTAGTGTCGCTCAAGGACAACTGAGCCTCGAGCTTGCCCATGGAATCCAAAGCTGTACCGTTAGCTGCCTTGACATCAGCTGTGTCCGGCACTAGATTCATCCTGAGGCTTGGGTCGATACCATCCAGGTCGGTAAGACTGATGGCGTCCACATCCGCGCCCGTGTCCGGCAGCCACCCGATAGCGCATGACGATCCTCCCTGGATCGCGACGCCAACCGTCACCAGCTTGTTCCTAGAAGGACCAGCCTGGTTGACAAACAGCGAGTCGACAGACGTCGTTCCTGGTGAGGGCGAGGTCCGCTGTTGACAAACCCTGGCAAAGTGACCCACCTTGAGGCACAAGCGGCATGTCTGGTTATAGGCCTTGCATTGGCCCTTGGGGTGAGTCTCCCCACAAAACCTGCACGTGCCTACGTCCGACTTCAGCGTCTGTGCCTGCGCCTGCTGACGCTTGTAAGTGGACTTCGTTGCCGCCGCCAACGCCAGGTCGGGCAGCTGCTCACCGAGGCCAGATTCCGTATCGGTAGCGGATTCGTATGCAGAGCATATCTGCATGACCCGATCGAGCGATAACTCACTGGCATACTCTTCTTCGAGCACCCGTCGTTGCATCGCTCGATCCCTTAGGCCACAGATGAGCCTGTCGCTGAGCCGGGTTTCCCGAAGTTGGGCCTCATGGCCGCACAGTGACCCACATCTGCCGCACTGCAGACTATCTGGGTAGCTGCACGCATCATGCAGCTGAGACAGACCCGAGAAGTACTGGCTGATACTCTCACCTTGTCTCTGGCTCCTGCCATGGAAGGCCTTGCGGTCCAGTAACGGGTTTCTTCGCTTTCTCAGGAAAGCTTCCAGCTTCTGGATAGCAACCCGCTCATCATCGCCGTCGGCTATGGGAACTACGCCCGCCTGCCACAGCCGCACCCAACCATCATTGAGAGCTGTACGGAGAACTGCTTGCTGTGTAACTGTACCTGCGTCTCTGCATAGCCCAGTCAACGACACGTAGTCAGACCACTTGACTTTCCACTCGAGGAAACCAGCTAGGTCTATCGAGTCTGGACTGGGCAGGTGGGGTATTTCCGCTCTCCGGGCCCACGGCCCTACCTCTGGCTGTCTTGAGGTGGATGGTGGCGGGCCGCTGCCGGCAGGCTGGCTTGACTGCGCCATTGTGAGCCTAAGCAGAATCTGCTGCTGCTGGCTGAGGGATTGGACGATGGACTGCAGCAGGCTTCCTTCTTCTTGAGTTCCTGGCTGCATCCGCTCTGTCAACCCGTCGTTGATTGCTGCTGCTTCCTCAGCCTTGGCCTTGACAGAGGTTCGTGTCTTTCGCTGCGCCATGTTGTGTCCTGCTCAAGGCAGACCAACTTTTTGAAAGATGAGAATGAATCATCAGTAAAACGCAATGGCTTTTAAAGGGAAGCTGGCTGCAAAGGCGGCTTGAAAGGTGACATGTGAATGTGTTATGTGCAAGGCGCCAGAGGTACCGCAGTGCAGGGCCTAGGGTGCGAACAGCAGCACTAGCAGCCTGAGTACCAAGACCCATGCAGGGAAAGGTGCTACAATATCACCACATGTGTGTGTGTGTGTGTGTGTGTGTGCGTGCGTGCGTGCGTGCGTGCGTGCGTGCGTGTGTGTGTGTCTCTGAGTACAGCGAAGACCAAGTTCATGGCCGTTGGTGCAAATTTATCATGCCTTCCGCTCTTTGTTGGTCCGGAGGAGATCGAAAGTGTCAAATCCTTTGTGTATCTTGGCTCTGTGATAACTGCTGACACCCGCTCATCTGCAGATGTGGCCAGAAGACTCGGTAAGGCAGCGGCAGCTTTCGACCTTATGCGCCGTGTCTTTCTTGACCGAAACCTTTCCATCGCCACCAAGCGCCATCTTTACGATGTTTGCGTTCTGTCCACATTGCTCTATGCCTGTGAGTGCTGGACTCCGCTGAAGAGAGACATGGTTGCCATCAACAACTTCCACCACCGCTCCCTCAGGTTCATTCTGGGTGTATCCCGGCTCGATCAACAGCTGCAGCATGTCAACAACCAGGAGCTGCGAAGACGCTGGGGTGATATGGCACTGCCATCTGATACCGTCAGACACCGCCGTCTGCAGTGGCTTGGGCATGTCGCCAGAATGCCAGATAACCGGCTTCCGAAGCTGATACTGTTTAGCTTCTTCTCAGATCCACGCCCAGCCTGTGGGCCACGACTGCGATGGAAAGACCTCGTCGCACGTGATCTTCGTTTCGGTGGCATAGTGAATTGGCTCACTTTGGCTCAGGATCGCCCAGCATGGCGCGAGGCAATTGCAAAGACTCCGGATGATCTCGTGGAGTGTAACAACAACAAAGTCACCTGCAAGGTTTGCAACCGATCATACACTGCTCGTGGGATTCACCGTCACAAGTGCTCAGCTGTACGGTCCTTTCCTGTTGCCCAGCAGCCTGGGGCCCGTCACTGTGGAGTTTGTGACCGCTGGTTTCAAAGCGCTGGCGGTTTTGCAGTTCATCGTTGTGTGGAGCGTCAGACATGGGACGAAATACCAGCTGTTTCAACGAGAAGCAGCCTGAATTTGGACTGCTGCCGGCACCATTGCTCGATCTGTGATCGCTGCATGAAGAGTCAGGCTGGTTTTAACCGCCATAATTGTACTCGAGGCAAACGACTGCGAAAGGACCAGAGGACTAATCTGCCCATTCAATGCAGCCTATGTAACGAACGATTCTCCCGCCCGCAGGACCTCACCCGCCACCGAAGACAGAAACACTAGCTATGTGTAGAACGGTCCCCTTTCACCTCAATTATTCTCCTTGTTTCTTTTTTCTCGCTGTTGTCTCCCGCTTCTGGGAGCGACGTGGCCATTTTGTGGCAGTTGTACATAGTAGTAGTGTGTGTGTGTGTGTGTGTGTGTGTGTGTGTGTGTGTGTGTGTGTGTGTGTGTGTGTGTGTGTGTGTGTGTGTGTGTGTGTGTGTGTGTGTGTGTGTGTGTGTGTGTGTGTGTGTGTGTGTGTGTGTGTGTGTGTGTGTGTGTGTGTGTGTGTGTGTGTGTGTGTGTGTGTGTGTGTGTGTGTGTGTGTGTGTGTGTGTGTGTGTGTGTGTGTGTGTGTGTGTGTGTGTGTGTGTGTGTGTGTGTGTGTGTGTGTGTGTGTGTGTGTGTGTGTGTGTGTGTGTGTGTGTGTGTGTGTGTGTGTGTGTGTGTGTGTGTGTGTGTGTGTGTGTGTGTGTGTGTGTGTGTGTGTGTGTGTGTGTGTGTGTGTGTGTGTGTGTGTGGTAGCATTATTTATATTTTTACTCACCGCTCAGAAGTGCCACACTGTTTCTCCTCACAGAAGTGACTTAGAACACGAACAAGCCCATCTTCGCTCTGCAGAGTGTCGCACATCCGAGCAGCACGCAGGATCACATCCGAATGCCCAGCACCGACATACTGACAGCACAGCTTCCATAACTCGGCCAGACACGCAGCCGGCTCGATAGTGCCGAACGACGATGATGCCACGGCAAGTGTATCTCTTCTTTCAGCCAGCATACACAAACACTTGTCCGCACGGTCAACAAGGAACTTCTTCACCTCCTGAAAAATAAAACAAGAAAATGGATGAACAGAAGAATTTTGAATATACACGACGAATGGGACACAATATTTAGCTGGTTTTCAAAGCGAATGGAACACACAATTTAGGTTTTAAAGTTCCAGAACGAACGGAACACACGATTTAGCAGGTTTTCGTTTAAAAGTAACCTAATTCCGGAACAATCTATCAAATTCAAACAGGTTGATGGAGAGCAATAAACACCACAGACTTACAGTCTTGCCGGCACTGAATCAAAGACAGAATCACAGATGATCAAATTGTGGTGACAATTAGCAACGCACCCAATGGACGGCGGTCATTCAAAATAAAATGATTTCCTAAAACATTGCACGACATTGACCGACGGTAGTTAGTTGTAGAACGTCAGTATTTATTAACTCTGGAGTATATCCTGACGAAAGTGTCTGCTCCGAACGTCGGAGCTCGCACTTCCTGCCGACTGACTTGAGGGGTGAATTCCCCGAAACACTGTGTATTGAGCAGGGAGTTGTGCTTTCTTGCAGGTTTGCCAAGTGAAAGGTTTGACGTGCTTCTCGTGTGCTCCACACGCAGTCGTGAGTCAGTCAAGTGCCAAGTCTGTCGGCAGGAAGCGCGAGCTCCAGCATTCGGAGTAGACACTTTCTTCATTAATCACCGCTGATGTCGCAACATCTTTCGCACTCGAGTATATCCTATTGTAAGAAAGAAAAGAAAAAGGACCAGGGAAATACAAGTTACGCTAACATCACCAGTTACCGAACAATCAGCTCATGCGCTAACATCGGACGACACTGACAGACGGTAATGAGCTGATGAGCTGAACTGATTGTTTAGTAACTGGTGGTGTTAGTGCACATTATCGCGTAACTTGTAGTTCTTTGGTCCTTTTTTTCTTTTTCATAAATATACCCTCGGCTCTAGTAGTAGTAGTAGTAGAATTTATTATTTTACTAGGGAACTCCCAACAGGCGTTGCCTTTTTACTGGGAACCCTACCTCCGAGTCCTTTATATCCGATTAGGGAACAATATATTACAGCTTCTTAAAACCGAATCCATAGGAGATAGCCAGCAGAGATCCTACAAAATTGCCTTTGCATGCCCCAAGTCCAAGAATAAATCTGCATCACTTCGAATAGGTCGAAGAGGGAGAATGTCAAAGCGTGAAATTTTCGCGGCATTTTTAGTTCGCGTTTTCAGAATCCGGACAGGTTTGCGAGATTTTGCGATTGCAGAATGGCATTTTTGCTAAACCAGTGGCATTCTTGCTAAACCTTTCATGGATCTCCTTTTCGCGCTGTCTAAATTTCGCGATTTCGACGCGGTCGCGAATTTCGCAGAAATTAGACTATCGCAATTATTTCAAGGTTTACAGTACTGGGATTCATATCATTGTACTCAGCATCCAGAAGACTACAGCTATCGGAGTTTTTATTTTCACCCTGAAGTACCGTAGACTTCCTCTTGGAAAGACTTGTCAGATACGGACGCAAATTGAGACGCAAAAGGGAACCAAACAAACGGCAAATTGAGTCATCTTTCCAGGATCCCTTCAGAATCTCTCTCCAATCTACGGGGAGACACGTGAGCAGTTTCCGGCCGTGAGCAAGCGCCAGTACAGGTGCAAATGTGTGTATGTGTGTGTGTGTGTGTGTGTGTGTGTGTGTGTGTGTGTGTGTGTGTGTGTGTGTTCATGCGTGGGCATTCCCGCTTCTGCCCCGTTTGACACCGCTACCAGCCTGATCGTGGATGGGTGTTCAAGGTTCAGGGTGAGCGTGCACATATAAAATACGAGTGTTTGTGTGTCTGGGCCATGAAAGGCCTACGTCCTGTGCGTCCCTAGCTTGTAGATTGTTTCATTCGTCTTCGGAAATGAGAATACGTTTCTACCGATATGAAAAGACTAACCGGAGGAAGTGACGGGTCTTTGGCCATCTCCGCTTTCTTCTCCCAGAGCGCCACTTGCTTCCTCGCTACAGCATTCTGTTGTCCTTCGAGCTGTGTAAAATCCCATCCGCACGCGCATACCGCACACATCCAAACAGACACAAGCAAAACCGCCAAGGCACAGAAACAAACACTTATAAGATACGATTTTTCTTCAAAGAAAATAGCGCGCTTAAAGAATAGGACTTGAGCTTGCACAAGTTAGCAATGGAACAAGACTAAACACACTACTTTTCTTCAGCTGGAGCATAGAAAGTAGAAACAGGCACCCATCTACATGCACGCATGCACACACGCACACATGTACAGTGAAACCTGTCTAAGGCGACCCCTCAAGGGACGAGAAAAAGTGGTCGGCGTGGCCAGGTGGTCTTCTTATCCAGGTTCAGTGGGTCACGTGACCTTATCCACATGTGATACATCATTTTGATCAGTGCATCACACCTATGCTACTCTAGCACGGCCAGTGTGCCTGGGGTCAGCAGACCTGTCAAATGCCGTACATGCACCATGCATGTACATCTACACGTACTTCCTGCACTGATGTGTAGATCTACCATGCCTGGTGGCTGGTGCACCATGCAATGTGTACATTTACATGACTAGCACTGTGCAACGCGGTCGCGGGTGGGTGGTCGTCGGACGCGTTGAGCGAGTGGTCGCCTTATCCGAGGTGTTTTGAATTTGAATGCGTCCGTGACAAGGGAAAGTGGTCGCCATGGTCGAGTGGTCGCCATATCCGAGTGGTCGCCATTACAGGTTTTATTGTACGCACAGAAAAGAAGTTGGAATTCCTATCTCAGCAAAGGCTGTGTGCAAGAAATCACTGAAGAGTTTTAGTTACTTGATGAAGTTGTTTGTTCTTGCGTGGAACACACGCTTCCTGCCGTGCTTCACACTTGACTGACTCACAACTGCCAAATCCGGAGCACACGAGGAGCACGTTACACTTTCCCTGATGTGCAGCTCCTCGTGTGCTCCGGACTGCAGTCGTGAGTCCGTCAAGTGTCCTGTTCGGCAGGAAGCGGGCGTTCCAACGGGACAAGCAACTTCATCCGCTGATACCGGCAAAGTTGGAAATTCCAATTTTGTTCAAAGTCGGAGAAAGTGAAATCGGAGGTGAGTGGTGCAATAATCTAAGTTGGCCTGTAGCAATGTCCTTGCAGTTACCATGGTTACGTGGCAGACAACGATGGAAGTGACGAAACTGGGCGCGTTGCATCTCCCAGCAGTTTTCCGCTTTCTCAAGATAATAATCCAAATTGGTGATGTACAAGACAGTATTATAGGGAACAACTGACAAATCTCAAACAATGTTTTCTGAAGCGGCTGCACCACCGTGGAGCTAGCGCACCATAACGGCATAAGACATGTCAAGCAGATTTCTTTTTCGGTTTTGATCAGGGCAATGCGAGTGAGTGAATCAACTCCATGGTCACTAGAATGTTTAGGCGTTGGTCTCATCTCTTACCTGGAAGCTACTACCTTCGAACTAGTCAGGGAGCCGACCTTCAAAAAAGTGGCGCTCCAGGTCGGGCGAGATGGAGTAAAAGATCTCTTCAGCAATGGGTTATGGGTCTATCAGAGAAGGGCTTTCGAGTTCTTGGCCACCGTCAGTTCACTGCATCTGCAATGTCTTGACACCGAGGTGCTGCTGGCCGTGCAATCAATGCCAATGGTCAACTGCCTAGCCCAGAGGCAGATACAGGGGTTGCAGTGCTGGCAAGTGCATTGACATACTTATTACGGGCTTTTACGGTACTCGCCGATGTATGTCCGAATGTGACAACCCGCTCAGCAGCACTACACACGTGAGCAACAAGTGGACGTCGTTGGCAGCACAGAGCAGAGGATCGCAAACCGGATGAAGAATGGATACTGTTCTCCATGATGAAGGGATCAAAAACCGTTCAACACAGATATTGCGCTACATCGTCTTGCCTGGATGTATGCGGTGGTGCCGATGGTGGTGCCGATGCATATCGCGTCCATGACACTGTTTACAATCATCTGCTTTCAGCCTTTGTTCACATAAATATGATGCACCGTAGCTGTAGTTTTAAATTGATTTATATAATTATTCTACATGTTACCGCCACATTTACTGATTGCGTTTGCGGAAATTCCTAAAATATACTAGGTCTACTACTAGTACTACTCAATCTACCACACAAAGGACTGAATGAAGTAGTATAGGGAAATAATCATCCCATGATCTTCTACAATGTGAATGCTTCCACGTACGCTTGTCATTGTGCAGCCTAGCACCCGAAACTTCAACAAAACAATGATTCAAAGAGACGTTATTCAAGACAAGTCATGCATTCAGTCTACGTTCACTGGTATTATAAATTCAAAGATTCCGTTCAAGGCAGCTGCCATGGTGTGTACCTTACCACACGTTGTCAGTCCGCTCATTGACTAGCATGAAATCGTTTGTAGTGATGATCAATCTACAAAACACTATTGGTAAAAACAATCCAGAGTCACCTCGAGGGAGACGGACAGTTCCTACGAGACCTGCCTGTCGACATCAGGGTCAAGTGGCAAGTCATTTAGCCCTTACGCACGACAATCTCAGGAACACCAGTCATGTCCTCCTAGATCCTCCAACGAACCAGCTATGTTACTTCAGAACTCACAAAGACACAATCAGAATGAAATAAAAATAATTTTTGCTTCATGGACGGAGTGACTTTGCGTTTTTTGCTTCGTGTTTCTTTGTGTTTCTCTTGAAAATCTAGCAAAATTGAGTCATTCGCATGAAAATGTCTGGTTACGTCAAGGAAACCCACTGATTTTCCCCCATTTTCAAGCGCTGAACGGCGCAAATACTGTGAAATCACGGCAACGAAATAGTAGTGCACAGCTTCGGGACGCCGGCCAAGCTTAGTTCTCAAGAGACCCTACGTACCTACCTCTGTGCGAAGTTTCAAGTCCTCCCTCTGGAGTGGCATACCCCGAAAATAAAAAGCATCCTACAGATTTCGGATCCCCGACTAGAAGCTGATGCAGTGATGGTGATTTCAGCAATGAAAATGTAGCTGCCGTTCTTGGAGGTCAAAGGTGTGCCGTTGGCGGATCTGCGGAGTTCCCGGCGTCTCTCCGGAAGGCGCAGAAACTATTGCGTGATGCAGTCAAGGACAAGGATAGTGGTGTGCAGATCAGCGGAGGTTTAGGAATAGATAGTGAAATAGGCGGACTCATTAATTTGTCTAACTTACTCTGCTGACGATGGATGAAGTAGGATTGAAAAAGACAGTAGTAACGAACACGATGGCGTTTAGCGGTGCAGGCAGCGGCAAAACTACAATTACCGGTACTATCATGGTGGAATACCGGAGGGTTAAAGATTTGATGCGGAAGGCCGACAATCGTGGTATTGTCCTTGCGTCGCCACTGTTTGCTGAGCGGCAATACCTGGACTTGCTGCGTGGTCATGCACAGGAACAGAACGGCACCTTCTGCAAAGGTCTCTTTGAGCTACTGGCAACCCTGGTCACTGATGATGGTGAGTGTATGGACGAGGACAAGACCAGAAAAGTATAATGCACATCCTCTTTTTCTATTTTGGTGTCTCCCATGTACCAAATTTTACCTTGTTACTTGAGGCCGTAGGAGGTGTGCGAAGAAACCTTTCCAGAAGTTAGTTCCTAGGTTTGAACCCAATATGTAGAGGGAGAGGGAATAAAGAGAGAGAGAGAGAGAGAGAGAGAGAGAGAGAGAGAGAGAGAGAGAGAGAGAGAGAGAGAGAGAGAGAGAGAGAGAGAGAGAGAGAGAGAGAGAGAGAGAGAGAGAGAGAGAGAGAGAGAGAGAGAGAGAGAGAGAGAGAGAGAGAGAGAGAGAGAGAGAGAGAGAGAGAGAGAGAGAGAGAGAGAGAGAGAGAGAGAGAGAGAGAGAGAGAGAGAGAGAGAGAGAGAGAGAGAGAGAGAGAGAGAGAGAGAGAGAGAGAGAGAGAGAGAGAGAGAGAGAGAGAGAGAGAGAGAGAGAGAGAGAGAGAGAGAGAGAGAGAGAGAGAGAGAGAGAGAGAGAGAGAGAGAGAGAGAGAGAGAGAGAGAGAGAGAGAGAGAGAGAGAGAGAGAGAGAGGATCAGCCAGAGATTGAGTTGGAGTGAATGAAGGAAGGCCTGAATCTGTCATAGGTAGCTCTACTTATCGGCGAACCAACCTGTAGCATGCACATTTCGATTTGTTAAACAATAACACTAATACGGATCCAGAACCAGAAGGGTGTGTCCAGAACCACCTTTCCTCTTCCATGGAACCTCGCCACGCCATGATCAGGCGTCCAATGCCGCAGCTCCAAACTGTGGGGCAGGGTAGATAAGGTAGACGAAATCGGGTGCATGTATGCGTGTGGGAATGTGCATGTGCGTGCGCGCGAGTGTGTGTGTGGGGGGGGGGGGGGGGGGAGTGTGTGTGCGTGTGTGTGCGTATGTGTGTGTGTGGGGGGGGGGGGGGGGAGTGTGTGTTCCTGCACGTGCTTGCTTGCGGGCACGTACGTGTGAACATGTGTGCACTGGAGCGCACGTGCATGTGCTTCAGTACTGGTATACGTACATGCCCGTCGCACCGACTTTGGAGGGGGGTGCGGGGTCCTCCCCGGGAAAAAATTTCAAAAATTGAAGCCAATTTCAAGCATTTCCGGGCATTTGGTGCCATTTCAGTGTACGGTAACTACAATGAAAGTCTTTTTGATTCTGCAATAAACCAAGAAAAAGCTACGATCGGGGACAAACATTACCCTCCCCCGGGAAAAAATTCACAAAAATTGAAGCCAATTGCAAGCATTTACAGACATTTGGTGCCATTTCAGTGTTAGCAATGAAGGACTTTTTTCTGCAACAAACCACGATCGAGGGGTCGGGGACAAAGATTTGTCACGTTTGCGCTAAGCTGCGATCATCGCGCTTTGTTGTAAAATGCTCCAAAAAAACAAAAACAAAACGGCCGAAATGGTGGGGCGGCCTCAGCTGCCCCGGCTGTGACGGCCTTGACGTATGAACCTGTGAACAGAGATTGAGTGTTACGCTCTCTCGCCTTGACTTGGTTCGGCACTTATTTTCTGGCTAGTGTTGAAGGCGACTGTGTTTGTCATGAGTAGACCACTCTGACCTTGACACTTTCACCTGATTAAAACATACGTTAGGGGAGATGGGGAGACGGAGACAAAGACGAACGAAACAACTACATTATGGAAGAGAGAGAGAGATTGAGTGAGGGCGGCAAGATAAAGGGCCTGGGTAGCTATGGCAGATATGGCCGCGCAAGTAGCTACCCAGGCCAAGGGAACAAAAGGTGACAAAAAAGAGACAAAGGGTGAGTACGAGGGTGCATGCAGGCCAGCTTGGAAAAGGTTTTAGAACATACGGGAGGAGGTACCTAACAGTACACTTGAGTTCATTGCCATAGGATCGGCCGCTCACTCAAGCTAGGTTAATGACACCTAGTGAGGCCGAACTAGGTAGTTTTCCGGAGATTGAGTATGAACCTTTGTGTATATTTTGTGTGTTGTATGCCTTGTTAATATGTGGGTACAAGAATCAGCTACGTTTCAATTTCGCCTGACGCAAGAGGATATCTCGGAAGCTGTGAAGGTGCTCACTATGTACAAAACTGAACTGTCGGTGGTGGATTCCGTTTGTAACTTCTTGGACATCGCATTGAATCGGCCATCACCCAGGGATGATGGCAAGCAGGGTATGTGCGTGTGTGTGTTCATGTGTGTATGTGTGTGTTCGTGTGCATGTGTGTGTGTGTGCTTTGCGATTTCTCTCTCTTCTCTTCTCTCTTCTTGTCGTTGTCTCCCGCTTCTGGGAGCGGCGTGGCCCGATAGGGTAGCTGTACATAGTAGTAGTAGTAGTAGTTAGTGCTGAAACGATCATATCGATTACTCGTTACTTACTCGATAAGAAATAGATCGAACGGTTATTTCAATTTTATCGGCTAAACGAGTAGAATGGTACTTATGCTCGGTGCGGGATTTCCCCCCTTTTGGGGGTCACACAAAGCGTGCATGCATCGAAAGTGTTGCGAGTAGGTCTACGACACGAATATGTACATACTGTACACGGAATGATGTCCTTCGGTCCTTCCCTGACGCTGTTGTGGAGGTCTGGAACCAGCTCCCGCAGTGCATTCTGCTGAACCAGCCAACAAGGAAAGGACTGCAGACGTTCAAAGAAAAGGTCAACGCCCACCTGCGCCTTACCCGCTGGGAGTGGGCAACGGACAGGCTATGAATCAAAGAAAAAAGACGAAAAAAGCTCTAACTCTGTTCCCTCCTCCATTCACTTCGTTGACTCTCTGATAACTTTTTATTGTGCATACTTTTCCCCGTAATCCCCAGTTATCTACCCCCCCCCCCCCCCCCTGCGTATTTTCTGTAATCTTTTGTTTTTGTGGAGCGCTTGGGTTGCAATGAAGCCGAGACCCTATGGTCGGTCAAGCTGCCCCTGCCTCTCCCCCACTCCTGCCATTCCATATGTCTCATCGCTGCCTTGCTGCTTTGTGCCATCAAATGGTGTGTGGTTTTTTGTACAGAAAAAAAACAAAAAAACTTGCAACATCAATGTACGTGTAAAGACTAGTAGCGCGATCTGAGAAACATCGACGCTATCACCGTCGCCGTCTTTTGAGCTGACTACTTTTCTTTCATCGAGCATGCAGGACGGGCAGGCTCAGTATGTGTCTACACTAGCTGCAGGGGCTGGAGTTCCCTCCACGTGCAAGTAGTCTTGAGCTAAAGACAGTAAAGTGGTCTTCAGTTTCATGTTTTCCGTTCTGTCGACGGTTCCCGAACCAGTTTGCTCGACGACTAGCTAGGCCTGGCGTCTGTGCCTATTTTGAGCATAGACAGGAAAAGCAACTAGTTACTTGTTGATGCGCCTCAAATCAGCTCATCCGTCGAAATTCGCCGATCTGCACCCCGGGCCGGCTTCTCTGACTTCATCATCAGAGTCAGCGAAGTCACAGGCGAAGGGCACCATCAGCTCTTGGGTTGCAACCAGTGAGCTGCCTCTGTCTTGTCTGTATTTGTCTCAGTGGTCAGGCTGAACAGCTGACGGACTTGTCCGGATCATCAGATCTATGCGCCCACTTTCCGTCGCTGGCGATGTTGAATTCGTAATTTTTTTCAAATTCACAGAATGTACATGTACTGATGTAGTTACATTAACCCTTTAAGAGCCACAGGAAATTTTCATAATTCTGCATATTTTCGTGTTCCTTGGATCATAGCTTCAGTTCTACTCACTCAATCCTCACAATCTAGGGCTTCCTGGAAAGGTCTCCGCGAGAGGAAGAGAATGAGGTCGATCATGATAGCCAGCACACCGTCTGTCCAGCGCTAGATCGCAGCGACAGTACGAAAAATGCCCCAAATGCGTCCCGCTCCAGAATTTTCATTTTACTCGATCGTGGAGTTGCAATTTTTTCGCTGTGTACTCTTGACAATATCAACAGTGAAACCCGTGCAAATTCGAGTAAACCAGCGTGACGAAAAGTCTCAAAATTCTCAACACTAAAGTCGCACTTCCCGCTTTTGAAATTGCCGCGATCGCGGCTCAACTTACGAGTGGTTTATCTCAGGAACCGTTGCTCGCAGCGCTTCGCGGATTGTTTCTCCCGACAGGTGAGAGTTTTCTCTTCGCCCTGGATATTTCGATCACTGGATTTGAGCGAGATTGGACTGAGTTACGATCTTTTGAAGTTTTGCATTTGAATGCGTCGTTTACGACGCATTCAAGTATGGGGCGGCTCTTAAAGGGTTAATAATCGTTTAGCCGATAAGCCGATCGTTATGGTATCAGCTAAGCCACTAAGGAAAAAACGTAATCGTTTCAGCACTAGTAGTAGTAGTAGTAGTGTGTGTGTATGTGTGTGCATGTGTGTGTGTGCGCGTGTGCGTGTGTGTGGGTGCGTGTGTTCGTGTGTGGGTGTGTTTGTGTGTACGTGCTTGAGAGAGTGAATTAATGTGTCTGTACGCAAGATTATAAGCTCCTTATGTACTTGGAAGGACTTGATAAAGCCTCTCTTTCTCATCACGTAAGGTATTTGCAGGTTCGCCCGGTTTCTCTGCAAATTGTTATAGTCATTGTGAAACTGGAAGGCCTAACACGAGGCCAAGATAACCCCAAACCTACAATTTTCACCCTGAGCACCCTTTTCACATGCTCTGCCCCATTTAGATAAAAGTTTGTGATTGTGGAGCATGTTCCTAGTATAGTTAAAGAATGATCCGAGTACTCCAGTTTCAGAAATTGTCGGTGCTGAATATGTTCAGTATGAGGGTAAAAGGCCAGGTTTGGTAAACAGAAGTTTTCGGTACAGAGTGGCAGTTCCCTGTTGGATTGTGTGTGTTAGTGTTTGTTTGGTGTATTGAAATTTTAGGTATGAAACAGATGCACCGAAAGTACCGAAAATACAAGTAAACCGAAAATTTGTGAAATTACAGTACTTTTTTCATTTTTAGCATCATCCGTTAGCGTCAGGCTACACTCCCACTCGGCACTGTCTTTGCTGCGCGCCATACTACTGGCCCGCGTCTTCTGGGCGCTGTACTGCAACCCCGGCAGTTCATGAAAATACACACATGTTCTATTCCATGAACATGTTTTCCATGGAGATCGTTTTCCACCACAGTACCCGTTCTTCAAAGACAGGGGTGGGGAAGAGGCACAGCTATAATGATAAAAATTGTGCGAGTGTGATAGAACAAAATGATCGCGTGTGTGAATTATTGTATCGTTGATAATTTGTCCAATCAAAATATTTACTCTGTGCTTTGCACGTTTTGTATCTTGTCTGCCAATCTTTCTCCCCAGTTCCCATCGTGGAGCTATGTCCGGGAAGGGAGTGTATCGAGATATGCAGGAGCTTTGTAAACATGATGGAGCACGTCGACAGGACCAAGCTGAAGAACAACGCCATCAAACGTTTCACAACGCTCATCCTGCACATGCGCGGCATCATCCAAGGTAGGATCCCGAATGGCTTCGTGCCGTTACGGAGGGCAGGCTTGCTTGCGTTTTGCCAGGGTGCCAATTGTTCAAACTCTACTTGACCATAGAGGGCTCTTGTTAGCAAAATATTAATGGCTGTATCGTCCCGGTGCTGTCTAGTTGGCTCGCAGGGTTTTGACTTGATACAACTCTTCCTGCCGAAGTAATCAACACGAATGCTCTCCAATCGCCCTCCCCCGACCCCACCCCAATCCACTTCATTTTACAGAGTGCTGTGATGATGTACGGTTAGTCTAGAGACTGTTAAGAGTATAATTTCAGATGTTCTTGATGTATATGGATTCCCCCATGCCATATTTGACCTGTAGTTCATGTACTCCCGTACTAGATTTGTACCACAGTTGTATGACCTCGCACCATAACGGCATGCTTGCTTGGCTTGGGAGATACTTCCGTGCTTCATGTGTTTTGCCTCTTCAGTTGTGTTTTCCTTCTCTTCAGATTTGTTTTATAATAAATGTCTTCTTGCTAACTGTAGACATATCATGGCGCAGTGAACTGTTCGTTCCTTGTAGAACTCACCTGTGTGTTTAGTTTCTCGTGCTTTGTGTTTGCACCTCGTTGTGTTGCGCACTGGCCGATTTTTTTTTGTAGTTTGTTCGTGCCTAGCATTTGCGTAGGTTGCGACCACGATGTCCGACTCAGACCCTGCTCCTGACATTGTTGCCCTGACCGCGATGTTGGCGGCACAAATGAAGTCCTCAGAGGAGAGGGAACGTAAAATGGCTGACCTGTTCCAACAAACTATACAACGACTGACACAACCAACACAACAACCCGTGCAACCCAGCACCACATCACCAGCTCCAAAGCCTGTCTCTGCGGAGCGACCGATTTTACTGTCGTCCTCGACATTAGCCGACTTCACGGCATGGCAGGAAATGTGGCGAGACTATTATGAGTGCCAGCACCTGTCAGCTCAGAGCCGTGAGACCAGAGTATCCTCGCTGCGGCAAGCTCTAGATGAGGAGCTACGCAGATTTCTCCGCGAGGGTATAATCGTGACTCCACCGAATCCCGATGCGGACGATGTGATTTCTGCAGTCAAGGAATATTTGCGACGGCAGCGCAACCCACTCCTGGATCGTATCGCATTTTACGACAGGTGTCAGTCGAAAGGCGAGTCTTTCGATTCTTTTTACACTTCGTTGAAAGAATTACACACTAGCTGTGATTTTCCGGACGTTGTTTTGTGCTCACAATGTTCAGCACACACATGTAGTACCTGTCGCACAAGCCTGACACGTGTGCGTGCTGACACCCTGCGTGACAGGATTGTCATTGGAATTGGTGACGACGCTACCCGGCACAAGCTATTGTCTGCCAAGGACTTGACCCTGAACGATGCAGTCACAATTTGCCGGGCGGAGGAAGCGGCTACCACGACGAGCAGCAGTATCCCGTCCACCAGCCAGCTCAATGCTGTGCGGCGGTCCGCGTACCAACGCAGTAAGCAACAATCCCGACAGGGACAGCCTGGCAGCAAGATGTCTGCACCTGTATTGCCATCTGCATCCGCTCCCTCGTCAGGAAGCGACACACACAAGAAGTGCCCCAATTGCGGCCGGAGCCCGCACACAAAGTCTAGTTGCCCTGCCAGCGGCAAGAAATGTAATGGCTGTGGCAAGACTGGTCACTTTCTCGCTATGTGTAGGTCGTCGTCACAATCGGACCGGAACGTGAAGCATGTGGGCCAACTGAAGTTGCAGCGTACTCGTCTTGCTGCGCAGCCTACTGTGCGTGTGTCCACCCGTTTAGCCACTGAGGATGAGGCAGTCACGCTACCCTGGGTCCCTGATACTGGCAGTGACGTCGATGCCATTGGCGAGCATCATCTCGAACTGCTTGGCGGGTTCCCCGAGAACCTCGACCATGACCCAGAGTGCGTCCTAGCGGCATCTGGAGAGCAGTTGCAGAACGTCGGCAGTATTCGTGCTTCACTTCAGGTTGGCGAAGTACAACACAGCACCGTAATCCACGTGTACAAGGGTCTGGACGATGCTCTTCTATCACGTTCGTCCTTGAGTGCACTCCAGCTCCTCCCGTCAGATTGGCCTGCACAGTACCCTGCTGCTAATGCTGCCGCGCCACCTAAGATCCGTGCTGTATCAAAGCCTGTTGTCAATCCTAGCTCTGCTGATATCGCTCGTGTTCGCGATGAGCTACTGCAGGAGTTCTCGGACGTGTTTTCCGACACTGGCTTGAAGGCGATGGCAGGTCCTCCGATGGACATCCAACTTCAGCCAGATGCTAAGCCGTCATGTGTCCATACCGCACGCCCGATTCCGTACGCGTTTCGTGACCAGGTCAAGTCACAACTGGACACAATGGTTGTCGATGGCATAATCGAGCCTGTCAGTGAGCCTAGTGAATGGTGTCACCCGATTGTGCTCGTCGACAAGAAAGGTACCACTGAGAAACGCCTCACCGTCGATTTCAAACGATTGAATGACCAAGTCCTGAGACCAGCCCACCCTGTTCGCACCGCTCGCGATGTGGTTTCTGGTATTGGATCGGCACAGTTCCTCACCAAGCTTGATGCAAGGCACGGATACTGGCAAATCCCACTGAGTGAGCAGGCATGTCCAATGACCACATTCATCACCCCATACGGCAGGTATCGTTTCCTACGCAACCCTCAAGGCCTGATTTCCGCCGGGGATGTTTTCAACTGCCGCACTGATGCTGCGTTCGATGCAATCCCGAATTTCGCCAAGGTTGTAGATCATTGCCTGGCCTATGATGACGACTTTGCCTCCCATGTCACCCATGTTCGTGACATCCTGCTGTGTGCTCGACAGCATGGCATTACTCTGAGCCCGTCCAAATTCACCTTTGCGTCACGTCACATCCATTTCTGCGGCTACATTGTCAGTCCAGACGGCTGGGTTGTTGACGATGACAAGGCAGCGGCTATTCGCGATTTTGACATTCCTGCGAACCGCACTGATTTGCGTTCGTTTCTTGGCCTGGTGAACCAGTGTAGCGAGTTCTCACCACACCTCGCCGCCTGCACCACTCCGCTTCGTGGTCTGTTGAAGACGACCCGTGAATTTGTCTGGGATGCCAACCACACTGTTGCGTTCGAGAAGACCAAGTCTACTCTGCTGTCTCCTCCTATCCTGGCCTTCTACCAGCATGGACACGACCTCCGTCTGGAGACTGATGCCTCTGCACTACGTGGTCTCGGCTTCGTTCTGTGGCAGAAGCAGGATGATAAGTGGCGAATCATCCAGTGTGGCTCCCGCTACCTCTCTGACGCCGAATCTCGCTATGCTGTTGTTGAGCTCGAGATGCTCGCCGTCGTTTGGGCTGTGCACAAGTGCAAGTTGTACTTATCCGGCACCCTATTTGATCTGATCACTGATCACCGTCCGTTGATCCCGATTATCAACGCGTATTCTCTAGATCAGATCGAGAATCCTCGCCTTCTTCGTCTTCGCCTGAAGCTGCAGTCGTTTCAAGTGCACGCTTCCTGGCGAAAAGGCTCTGATCACGCGTTTGCTGATGCGCTGTCTCGCAATCCCGTCGGCATCCCGTCTTCAGATGATGAACTCGGCGAAGCCCCTGCTCTTCATTGCCACAGCATCCGTGTGTGCATGCTCCGTGATGATGGTCCTCACCCCAACCTGAAGTTTGCTGAACTTCGAGCAGCCGCCTCAGCTGATCCAGTCTATCAGTCTCTTGTCCAGTGCGTTCTGCATGGTTTTCCCGCTCGTCAGCGTGATTTGGATGCTCCACTCCAACCCTTCTGGAATGGACGTGAGCACCTGTCAGTGGACCAGGGCATCGTCATGAAAGGCCAACGCATTCTTGTTCCCTTGGCTATGCGTCAACGCGTTCTTGCTAATCTTCATGCATCGCATCAAGGTCTCGTCCGCACGAAGGCTCGCGCCCGGCAGCTCGTGTACTGGCCTGGTCTCACCGCCGACATAGACACCCTTGTCCGTGCCTGTTCCGCGTGTCGAGAATTCCAGTCGTCGCAGTCAGCCGAACCACCGATGAATGACCGTCATCCTACTCTGCCGTTCGAGTTTGTGTCCGCTGATCTGTTCTCTTGCCAAGGCTACGAGTTTCTTGTTTATGTCGACCGTCTGACTGGTTGGCCGTGCGTTGTTCGAACCGGCAGGACCACGTCATCACACGATGTCATTCTCGCTTGTCGTCGTTGGTTTGCCGATCTGGGTGTGCCTGCTGTACTGTGCACCGACGGTGGCCCCCAGTTTGCATCGAAGAAGTTTGCTGACTTCTGTAGCCGTTGGCAAGTGCAACGCGTATCCTCTTCCCCGCATTACCCCCAGAGTAATGGACATGCGGAAGCTGCAGTGAAAGCTATGAAGCGCTTGCTGCTCAAGACCTCGTCAAATGGCAATCTCGACACAGATGCATTTCGTCGTGGTCTACTGGAGTGGCGGAACACGCCCGGTCCGTCTGGCAAGAGCCCAGCTGAGCATCTTCTCGGGCATCCACTTCGGTCTTTCGTCATTGCTGAGTGGACGCAGTTTGATTCCTCGTGGTCGACCGTCGCTAGTGAGCGTGAAGAACAGTCACCACCCTCGACACCTGTTTCCGCCAGTACTCCCACCCACCGCTCTCTTCCCGTTCTCCGTATCGGCACTCCTGTGGACGTCCAGGATCCGAAGACGAAGCGTTGGACAACCCGTGGCGTGATTGTGGCCATTGGGCAGCACCGTGACTATTTCGTCAAGTTGGCTAGTGGTCGAGTTTATTGGAGAAATCGCCGTTTTCTTCGTCCGTTCTCTCCACCCGTGCCGTCACCAGCACCATGCGTTTCACCACAGCCGTCTGTTGTCGTTGCTCCTGCTACGCCTCCTCCTCTGCGTCGCAGCACACGAGCACACCAACCACCCTCTCGTTTGAACATTTCCTCCACCCGTGGACAGTCTTATGCATCTTGATTTGTTCTGGACACATCGTGTACATGTTCTTGAGGATTGTTCTCATATCGTATCTTTCTGTATCCTTGTGTGGCATGCTATGTCTGTTCCGCCGTGTGCTATAGGCCGTTGCTTGCCATACTTATTTGTTTGTTTGTTTGGATTTGATAGATAATACTGGATTTGTTTTCTCAGCATTATCTCGAAGGGGCGTGATGTATATGGATTCCCCCATGCCATATTTGACCTGTAGTTCATGTACTCCCGTACTAGATTTGTACCACAGTTGTATGACCTCGCACCATAACGGCATGCTTGCTTGGCTTGGGAGATACTTCCGTGCTTCATGTGTTTTGCCTCTTCAGTTGTGTTTTCCTTCTCTTCAGATTTGTTTTATAATAAATGTCTTCTTGCTAACTGTAGACATATCAGTTCTGTTATGATGAGTGGCTACAGTGGAGTGTTCGCGTCTTGACAAGCGTGTCCGTGTTCTGTTGTCTTGTTGTCATCTGCGTAGAAACCGGAGCAATGCAAGCGATCACCGAGTTGAACATTGACGTGTCGCTGTCCAAAGTCCTGTGTTACTTGGAGCCCTCCCGGAATCTTGTCGAAGTCTGCGCCAAGCTGCTCAAGTTCTTCGTCACAGATGGTGAGGCATGATGCATGAACTGTGTCAGTCATTGGCCATCTCTTCATGCGTAGTCTACCTATTCTATCAGCAAAGCGTTGTCAAAATATTTATTGTATCATAGCGGTTTTCATTCAAGCTTGCAGAGAATTATGTGTTCAGACACCTCTGCGGCCCAAACAAGTTTTGGCTCCCTGTTGTGACCATGTTTGCAAGGTATTGCTGTACCTCATTTCCGGCACGTAATTGTAAGATTACTCGTTGCTTGGCAACCACAGCCCTGTTATCTTGAAAAAGCCTGTTTTCTTTTGTGGTTATTCCTCACAATCAGTATTTGAAAGGCGCATTTCGAAAATATTGTGCAGTAAACCAGTTGAATTACAACCTCACATATCACAACAGCTCTGGAAGAACGACACAGTCTTTATCATACTTTCAAACTGCACACTTTCAACCTTGCGACCAACGCCGAAGAAACACCACGCATACGAATACATGAAAGTGTATTATTTTCCTTTACGTTGTGTGTTTTAGATACCTTGAGGCATGCGCGTCGCCAGGGAGTGTCAGCCGCAACCGTGCATGAACGAGCAGACGCTGCCCTTGCCACCTGTGTTGAGGGTGAGGACGAACAGTGGGCGGACAATCCTCAAATGAGAACAGCAGTGCGAGAGCTGCTATCTGCACTTGGTACGTAGAGCATGCTTTAGTTGTCTGTATATTTGTTTAGCTATACTCTATTTCACCATAGGCACAGGCAATATCTGCCTTCTCACTGGACGTATTGCCACAGTGCCTTCTCACTGGGCGTATTGCCACAGTGCTTGCCAAATGATGGGCAGTGATCTCTGCAGTTTGCTGCCAGCCGCCAATTCTGAAGAGAAGAAAATATTGTGTAGCCTGCGATGGCAGTGCGAGTATGTAATCTTTTTTTAGTAGGATACTCAACAAATACGGATGCGGCGACGGGACAGAAACTTCAACAAGGATAAGAAAACTGTGAACGCAGTCGTTGGTGGACACAGAGCATCACGTACAGTCCCTGTCAATGAAATCCAGTCGTGTCACTCAATTTTGCGCCTTGCACCATTTTGCAGCCTAGTGTTCGCAAATCCAGGACTGTGCAACACCCGGTGCGTACTTGAGTGACGCGACTGGATTTCATTGAGCACTGCACTGTACTTACAGTCTACAGAGTTCTGGTGTTGTTATGTTCTCCTCTGCTGATAAAGGTCAAATGGAGACTCAGCAGTGTGGAATTGCATGCAAGTACTGGACGAAAATATTGAACAGTCTCTGCTGGGATGACGACTACACCATAGCTCAGTACTTAGAGCATCGCTGGCCTCAAGCAAAGGTCCTTGGTTCGAGTCCTGGTGGTGACAGTCAATTTGTTCTTCAGACATTTCCCTTTTGCAACTGTCCCTCAAACCTGTGAAAATAGCCAGGCTGGTGATGTTAATGCTCTGCTATTCTTCACTCTTGTTCTGCTATACAGGTTACGTCCCTGCCTCCTCTCTAGTTACTCCTGCGGCAGCTGATTCCGCCGACGTGACTCTCACAGCTCCCACTTCTGCTGCTGCTGCTGCTGCTGCTGCTGCTGCTGCTGCCACCTCGACTTCTGCAACTGCTGCCCCTGCTGCGGTGTCTCCCGCAGCTGCACCTGCTGCCATAGCAACGTCGTCTTCGGACTCGTCGGCTGGCACACAATCTACATCTTCTGGAGGTGAGTGACTGTTGTTGTCGTGCAACGGTGTTCTACACAAATTGTAGATGTACTCTGCGTGTGTGTGTGTGTGTGTGTGTGTGTGTGTGTGCATGTGCGTCACAGGGCGGTTGGGTGTGGTACAACGGGGGGTCGGGGGGGGGGGGGTCCCGCAGAGAAACAATTCGAATTTTTCGGCCAACAGGGCACGTTTTAGCACTCTACAGCCGCAAAGGAGGGTTCCCCTAGCACTTATTAAACAACCCCCACTCCAGCTCAAAATCGCGCCTCTCATGGATTTTTTGGTATTTTCTGTACATCATAGGTGGCCAAGGCAAAAAAGGAAGCCATTGCCCTCGAAAAAAATCGCAAAATCCAAAGTACACTGTACAGTTCTAGCGCCAGCCGCTGTTCAAAAACGTAAGTCATGTCCTGCGAAAGTGCGCCACGCCGCATGCACTAGGCTATGTACATGATGTACACGGCCGGCCCGCGGACAGTCGCGAAGTACTAGTAATTATGTTAGTTGTTTTTAGAGAGAGAAGAAGGTCCATTTTTTGTTCGGTGGGATTGAAAGATCTGCCAGTGGACGGGAGAGCTACAACACTGGAAGCAGAAGAAAGGGCTTGCGGAATCTTCCCTGTCTTCGTGGCAACAGGACTTTAGTTTGCGAGAGACTTTCGTCCTGTCGTCGCGGACGCAATTCTTGTTGCTGCTACCAGAAAATTCGGGGAACGAAACGATCATAAGTCGCTTGGTGAAGCGGGTCGTGTCGGTGAACAGCTGCAGAATGTTCTGCCGCCGTGGAACAGCATTCCAAACACTTCCCTATTCCGTTGACAAGCGCGGCGTTCGCGGGTGTACATGTAATGCATTTTCCCATCAGCTTGCAGTAGATCGTCAGGAGCCAGAGATACTAGGTAGGTGTCGTTGTGGAAAGAATATAATTATGTTGTAGCTGACAAGTGACAACTGGCATGCTTGTAGTGTCTCTTGACCATGCTGATCGCCATTGTAACATGGTAGATCTTGGAAAATTTTAGTTCTGGACCCAGTGATCGCAGCCAGCACTGTTTCCGTCAAGTTTGCAGTGAATGTGTCCGTGAGGAATCCATCATCTGGTTGTCTCTACCCGTGACTCCAACCGCCTATCGCAATGGATAGCCGCCTGGAGTCTTGGGGTGCTAGCTGCTAGGCATCAAGTCTGAATCAAATAATTGTATGCTCCTTGCAATGAAAGTTGTGATGTTTTGTATAAGTTCGAAGATCCTTGAAT